TGGCCACGCCAGTCCTAGCTGTTGGCTGGGCGCTCTTTTGAGCCCTCCGCCCTGGCTCCTCGCTTTGGGTTCTTCGTCTGCCATCAGTGCACCAGTTCGGTGCCCCCCCCCCCACAGTTCTTGCCCCGGCAGGACCTTTCGGCTCTTCAGCCGCGCTCCGCCTGCCGCCTGCCTTGGGGCTGGGCTGCCCTTGCCGCCCGCGCCCCACCCCGCCCCTCTTGCCTTGCCTGGTTTTCGGGCCAATCCTCTGGAGGTGGTCCCGCACTGGCCGCCGCCGCCTGGGTTGCCTTTGTAGGTCACGTCTGACCTCGGCCTCCTCGGCCCCCTGGCACTTTCGTGTACGCCTTCGTCAACAGCCTCCGCTGGGCACTGTTCCCCTCAGGGCGTCGTGCCGCCGGCAGCCCGCCTTGCTGCCCCCCCCCCCAGCCGCCTCGCTGCCGCTGGGCCCCGCCCCCCGACGCCGCCCCTCGCCGCCGCCTGGCCCCGCTCTGAGCGGGCCCGGTTTCCTCCCCCCTCCTACCGTCGCCGGGCGCCTCCCTTTCTCCTCCTGCACGGTGGCCGAATTCGCGCTCGTGCATCTTGCAACGCCTCACCGCCAGCGCAGTCACTCTGCCTAGCCGCCGACGTAAAAGTGTGTGTGTGTGTGTGCATGTGTGTTTCAATCACATGTGTTTGTGCGCATTTGCATTCATCGCGCTATCCCTCATTGGCCTAAAACAGCTACGTTGCCGTGGCTATTCGCTCACGCTCACAGTGAAAACTCATGCCAAGAAACACCCTGTTTGCTTCCAGGGTGCAGTGGGTTTCTTGGGTTTCGATGGCTTTGCGATGGAAGGCGTGACGTTCCCACACCAAAAATCAATGAACGTCCTGGGGTCTCAGGGTTGGGTTTCTTGTGGAAGGGTTTCTTGTGGCCGGGCCCCATACTGTATGTTTATCTGCACTGGCCAAGGTCTTGCGTACTGGCTCGCCTATTATGGTTTGGCCCTGAGGCAATTCCAGGTTTACCCTGTGAATGTGGTTGGGCACAATTGTTGTGTCTGTTCGGGAAATCGTCCGTTGACCTTGCATACTGGCATGCATATGCGCGCGTGTGTGTTCGCGCACATGTCGTTGTTGACCATTGTACACATATACGTACGAATCTGCAAATTTGTAGGTGCATACATTCACATATATATATATATATATATATATATATATATCGGAGGTGAGGGGGTGAGATCGAAGTGGAACGGAGAGCCCCCCTAGAAAGCCCCCCTACCGGGAAATCGATTTCGGTTTCGTGTTCGTGCGTGCCGTGCGTGCGGGGGAGGCGAAGCTGCGTGGGCGGGCGAGAGAAAGTCTCCTGTGGCTGAGGCGCGACCGGACCAAATGATTCCCTTCCGGGCGGCCGGTGGCCCGCGGTGTCCCGCCGGTGTCCCGCGAAAGTCCCGTGTGGCTGAGGCGCGGCCGGACCAAATGTGTCCCGGTTCGGTGTCCCGCGGTGTCCCGCGATGATGATGATGATGATGATGATGATGATGATGATGATGATGATGATGATGATGATAATGATGATGATGATGATGATGATGATGATGATGATGATGATGATGATGATGATGATGATGATGATGATGATGATGATGATGATGATGATGATGATGGTGATGCTGATGATGATGATGATGATGACGTCGATGATGATGATGGTGATGCTGCTGATGATGATGATGATGATGAGGACGATGATGATGATGATGATGATTATATGATGATGATGATGATGGTGTCCCGATGATGATGATGATGATGATGATGATGGATGAGATGATGATGATGATGATGATGATGATGATGATGATGAGGATGATGATGATGATGATGATGATGATGATGATGATGATGATGATGATGATGATGATGATGATGATGATGATGATGATGCTGATGAGGATGATGATGATGATGATGATTGATGATGATGATGATGATGATGATGATGATGATGATGATGATGATGATGATGATGATGATGATGATGATCATGATGATTACTCTCCACTCGTTTAAATTAGATATCAGATTGCGACCTAGTTTAGCCGAGATCTATTTTTACCGAGTCTAGTTTTACCGAGCCGGGACTCGAATACTAAACACAACGTTCTGTATGTCTGGGGTCAGACCCGGGTCAGTCCGGGGTCACTCCAGGGTCAGTCCGAAGTCGGTCCGGGGTCAGTTAGGGGTAGGTCGGTCCGGGGTCAGTCCCGGGTCGGTCCAGGGTCAGTCCGGGGTCAGTCCGGGGTCAGTCCGGGGTCAGTCCGGGGTCAGTCCGGGGTCAGTCCGGGGCCAGTCCGGGGTCAGTCCGGGGTCAGTCCGGGGTCAGTCCGGGGTCAGTCCGGGGCCAGTCTGGGGTCAGTCCGGGGTCAGTCCGGGGTCAGTCCGGGGTCAGTCCGGGGCCAGTCCGGGGTCAGTCCGGGGTCAGTCCGGGGTCAGTCCGGGGTCAGTCCGTCCGTTGTCAGTCCGTCCGGGGTCCGTCCGGGGTCCGTCCGGGGTCCGTCGTCCGTCCGGGGTCCGTCCGGGGTCCGTCTGGGGTCAGTCCGGGGTCAATCCGGGGCCAGCCCGGGGTCAGCCCGGGTCAGCCCGGGATCAATCTGGGGTCAGTCCGGGGTCAGTCCGGGGTCAGTCCGGGGTCAGTCCGGGGTCAGTCCGGGGTCAGTCCGGGGTCAGTCCGGGGAGTCCGGGGTCAGTCGGGGTCAGTCCGGGGTCAGTCCGGGGTCAGTCCGGGGTCAGTCCGGGGTCAGTCCGGGGTCAGTCCGGGGTCAGTCCGGGGTCCGTCCGGGGTCAGTCCGGGGTCAGTCCGGGGTTAGTCCGGGGCCGGTCTGGGGCCGGTCCGGGGTCGGTCCGGGGTCGGTCGGGGTCGGTCCGGGGTCAGGGTCAGTCCGGGGTCAGTCAGTCCGGGGTCAGTCCGGGGTCAGTCCGGGGTCAGTCCGGGGTCAGTCCGGGGTCAGTCAGTCCGGGGTCAGTCCGGGGTCAGTCCGGGGTCAGTCAGTCCGGGGTCAGTCCGGGGCCAGTCCGGGGCCAGTCCGGGGCCAGTCCGGGGCCAGTCCAGTCCGGGGTCAGTCCGGGGTCAGTCCGGGGTCAGTCCGGGGTCAGTCCGGGGTCAGTCCGGGGTCAGTCAGTCCGGGGTCAGTCCGGGGTCAGTCCGGGGTCAGTCTGGGGTCAGTCCGGGGTCAGTCCGGGGTCAGTCCGGGGTTAGTCCGGGGTCAGTCTGGGGTCAGTCCGGGGTCAGTCCGGGGTCAGTCCGGGGTCAGTCCGGGGCCAGTCCGGGGTCAGTCCGGGGTCAGTACAGGGTCAGTCCGGGGTCAGTCCGGGGTCAGTCCGGGGTCAGTCTGGGGTCAGTCTGGGGTCGATCAGTCCGGGGTCAGTCCGGGGTCAGTCCGGGGTCAGTCCGGGGTCAGTCCGGGGTCAGTCCGGGGTCAGTTCGGGGCCAGTCTGGGCTCCGTGCGGGGTCCGTCTGGGCCGGGGTCAGTCCGGGGTTGGTCCAGGGTCGGATCCGGGGTTTGCCTGAGGTCTGTCCAGGGTCTGTCCGGGGTCAGTCTGGGGCCAGCCTGGGTCAGTCCCGGAGTGACCTGCAAGATTGACCGTGCAGACCGACCCTTGAATGACCCGTGTGTATATGGAGCTTGGTCGGATCGAATTCAGCGCAGCCGAGCCGACCGCCACATTAGGTGCACGCGTATGTGGGAGCGCCCGAGTGGAAAGGGGAGCGGAGAGTATTGTAATGCATGGGAAATGAAAATGCAAGCGGGCCGATCTAGTTTTCGGAATTGCAGAAGTCGGGGACCGAAGCTTCCGATCTAGTAAAGCCGAGACCTAGTTTCACCGATTCTATTTTCAACGAGCGGAGTGTATGTTGATGGTCATGATGATGACGATGATGGTGTCCCGATGGTGATGAGTATGATGATGTTGATGTTGATGATGCTGATTATGATTGTGTCCCGATGATGATGATGTTGATGATGATGAGGTTGATGATGATTATGGCGTCCCGATGATGATGATTATTTTGATGGTGATTGTGATGATGTTGATGATGATGGCGTCCCGATGGTGATGATGATGATGTTGATGATGATGTTGTTAATGATGATGATGGTGCCCCGATGATGACGACGATGATGATGATGCTGATGATGATATTGATGATGCTGATGATGATGATGTCGATGATGAGGATGAGATGATGATGATGGTGTTCCGATGATGATGATGATGATGATGATGATGATGATGATGATGATGCTAACGATGGTGATCATGATGGTGTCCCGATGATGATGCTGCTGCTGATGATGATGATGACGATGACTGTGTCCCGATGTTGCTGATGATGATGATGATGTTGATGATGATGATTGTGATGATGGTGATGATGATGATGGTGGTGTCCCGATGATGTTGATGACCGTGATGATGATGATCTTGGTGTTGATGATGAGGACGGTGTCCCGATTATGATGATGTTGGTGATGATGATGTTGATGTTGATGTTGTTGTTGTTGATGATGATGATGACGTTGATTGTGAGAGCGGTTGTGATATCGACAGTGAAATCGATACTGAGACCGAATGTGATATCGATTGTGAGATCGATTGTGAGATGGATTGTGAGATCGGTAGTTAAACAAATTGTGAGATAAATCGAGTGAGATCGATTGTGAGATCGATCGAGGGAGATCGATCGACCGAGACCGATACTGAGATCGATAGTGAGATCGATAGTGATACCGATCGAGTGAGACGTTGGTTCCTCTCCCCCCCGAACCTCCTTATCACCCGAATGGCGGTCGTATAGGTATACGTATACATATATATATACGGCCATCATTTTTCATGGCTACATACACACAGATGTATGGGAGAGGGAGGGAGAGAGAGAAAGAGAGAGAGAGAGAGAGGGACAGAAAGAGAGAGAGAGAGAGCGAGAGAGACAACGATCAAGTGTCGGCAAGGTCCCTGCCGAAGGCTGGCTGCAGTGGCTCGCCCTGTGCGGCTTCTACGAGACCTGCGTGAACGGGGAGTCCAAGCCCGGCGAGCCGGGCAACTACGGCAGGGTCCGGCCGACCGCCAGCCTCTCCGCTTCCTTCTCCCCCTTCTGCCACGAGGTACCAGGGGCCGTCACCTTGGGTGTAGGATCGAGGAGGAGTCCAGGAGGAGGAGGAGGAGTCCAGGAGGAGGAGGAAGAGGAGATTGAGGAGGAGGAGGAGGAGGAGGACCAGTGTAAACCCAAGACTCATCAACGATACTGCAACAACCCTTCATCCAAGCGCCCTCTTGGTAGGCCACTACAAGACGTCGCTTTCAGTGAGGGAAGTGCCCCGTTGGAAAACAACCGATTGTAAATCGTGAGCTGTGCGAGAATACCATTCCTGGGACTTCAGCGCCACGAATCACCGCTACTGTTGCGTCTTGACGGCCTGGAATCGTGCCAGAACACCGTTCTTGGGACTTCAAACACCGCGAATCACTGTAACGTTGCGCCCAGACAGTCCGATATCGTACCAGAACGCCACTTCTGGTACGCTGACCATGGGAATCCGTGAATCTGCTGTAAAGTCTTCAAACGAGTGTGCGCGGCGCTGAGGCGAGAACCTTATTTTGAAAAGGAACCGTCCTCCACCAGTGACCATGTTGTCATATTGAAGACGAGTGTGCGGGGCGCCTAGGCGAGAGCCGCATTCTGAACACTGCCCGCCGTCCATCCGTGAAGCTCTACAGTTTTCGAGGCGAATGTGCGTGGCGCAAAGGCGTGAGGAACGTTTTTTTGGTGCTTTCTTCATATATATATATATATATATTTTTTTTTTTTTTTTTTTTTTTTTTTTTTTTTAAAAAAAAAAAAATAAAATAAAAAAAAAAACAAAAAAAACAAAAAAAACACCACCCGCCCTCCATCCGTGAAGCGGTTGCAAGTTCTCAGCTTGCGGCTCTTAGATGGCGAGGAAGGCTCAGGCGAAACGCCCCGCCCGCCCTGCCGACGGGGAGGAATTGTGCACAGGGAGCGGGAATGGAGAGGAGGATGAGGAGGAGGAGGAGGAGGAGGAGGAGGAGGAGGAGGAGGAGGAGGAGGAGGAGGAGAAGGAAAAGCAGGAGGAGGGAAAAGGAAGAGGAAGAGGAGGAGGAAAGGAGGAGGAAAGGAGGAAAGGAGGAGGAGGAGGAGGAGGAGGGCCCGAGGGCAGCGATCGAAGATCTCATGCCGTCAGGACGCAGAAACCAGGAGGGCCTAGGGGACAGGAGGAGCAGGAGGAAGCGGATGCGGCCCAGGTGGAGGAGGAGGAAGAGGAGGATGAGGAGGAGGAGGAACAGGGGGAGATGAGGAAGGAGGATCGGGAGCAGAGCAGAGCAGAGCAGCACGAATGATCCGATGAAGTGCCAGAGCCTCGGAAGAACGCACCCTGAGGGCACTGAGGAATACAAAAAAACAAACCAGGCGTTCGAGAACCGCTTAAGGGGCCCGATAATCGTTGGGGCCCTGCAGGGAGATGCCACCGGCAAAAACGAGACCCCCATTTTGGGACACCTCGGGGGCTCGCCTATGCACTCCCTCTCTGAACAAAGCCGGAGGATCGGGAGGAGGAGGTGGAGGATGAGGAGGAGGAGGAGGAGGAGGAGGAGGAGGAGGGGATGAAAGAACCTGGAACAACCCGAATAACAGGTTATTCCAGCGGTGCAGGCCCAGATAGCTAGGAAGCGAGCGTGGGCTAGACGGTGAGACTCGGTGCGCTCCTCGGCGACGTGCGAGGAGGAGGAGGATGGGGATGAGCAGGGGGATAGCCCACCTCCTTAGAGGCGGCGGTGGAGGAGGAGGAGGAGGAGGAGGAGGAGGAGGAGGAGGAGGAGGAGGAGGAGGAGGAGGAGGAGGAGGAGGGGGGTCCTCCCCGCCGCCTGGGCCGCCTCGGCTTCACTGGCACCAGCATCGAGGACGGCTGGGTGGGCCGCCTCTGCAGTGCCGTCGCCGGCGTCCTCCGTCTGCACCGCCTCCTCCACCTCCCTGCTGCTAGATTTCTAGGCCGCCCAGACGGGGTCCGAGGATGGGGTCGACTGATCGCTCCGCATCGCCGATGCATCGGCGATGCGGCTCGGTGTGGAGCCCGATTTTCTCCACGCCGATGGCGCCCATGCGTCGCCGATGCGTCGCCGATGCATCGCCGATGCATCTGCGGTGCACCAGCGATGCGGTGCAACCTCCTCCGGCCCCATAGGCCCGGACCCGATCCAGGAGGCTTGGCATCGCTCGGACGTGTGCATTTTTTCTCGGCGAGAGACATCGAGGACCATCCTGGACCATCGAGCAGCAAAAAACACGCACGAAACCGAAAGATGCACGGGAAATGGACGTCCGAGCGAGGCTGACGCGGGGCAGGCGCCCCGAGACGGGGGGCGCTCCGTCGTGGAGCGAGGCGGCCCTGTTGGCGGCTCGGTGCGCGGGCGGCAGGTCTGCATGGGGCCGCGGCCGGGGTGGCGGCCGCGGGGAGGCACGCCCGCGAGGGTGTGCGAGGCTTCTGCACGATGGGTACCGAAAGGATGGGTACAATGCCCAGCAGCAGTTCCTGTTCATTCTGAACAGGAATCGCTGTCCACGCCGCCGCGGCCTGCATCGATTCGAGACAGAAGGCCGCCTGCCCGGTGGCGGCCGCTGTTGGTTTGCGACAACATATGTTGCTGGGCATTGTGCTCATTTTTTCCGTACCCATGTCGGGGCGTCCAAAGACACAGGCCGTCTTGGTGCGTTTTTTTTTTTTATTTGCTTTTGTCTTTTTTCGTTTTTCTTTTCTTTTTTTTTTTTGTCATCGCCTTTCGTTTTACTTTTTTTTTTTTATTTGTTTCCTGTTTTTATTTTCGTTTTGTTTTCCTCTTTTTTCTTCTTTTTCTATTTAATTTATTCTCTCTCTTATTTTTTGTTTTTTCTTTTTTATGTTTTGGTTTCTTTCTTTTTCTTTATTTTTCCTTTCTGGTACGCCCGAAGAGGCGAGAACGCTACAATCATTCGAGGACCTGCGAAACATCCATGGTGCTTGCCTCCTGGGGCCCTCTTGGTTGTTTTCTTGGAGCTGTCTTGCGGCATGTTGGAGGCTCTTTGGCTATCCTGGGGACATTGTGGCAGTCCTGGAATGATCTTAGGCCGTCTCGGAGGGCTCTTGGACCGTTTGGATTGCCTCCGGGGTCCCTGTTGGCCCGTCTTGAAGCCCCTCTGGCCTAAGGGACAAGTCGGGCGAGAAGCCCTAAGAGTCCTGCGGGAAGCTCCTAAAGGCACGTGCCACGCCCATTGAGTTGAGGCTCCGGGCCCCTAGCAGAATTTAGAACTTTCCATGTTGTTGCGGATGGAGGACTCTTGAGGACCCGAGGACGCTCCATTCAGTGCCTACGGCACGATGCCGGCTCCTAGCCTGTAGTGCGGTCGTCGACGGCGTCGTCGCCGTCGCCGTCGTCGCTGTCGTTGGCGTCGTGGTCGTCGTCCTCGTCCTCGTCCTCGTCCTCGCCCTCGTCGTCGTCGTCGTCGGCGTCGTCGTTGGCGCCGAACTCCGCCGAACGCCGCCAGACGCCGCCGAGGCCCTGCGAACGCGCTCCAGGGCCGCCGCGAGGCCGCCGAGGGCCCCCCCCTCGCCCGGCCGAGGACGCCGAGGGGCGCAAGAGGTCCCTGAACTCCGAGATCGCCAACGGGCGCCTGGCGCGCCCCGGCCCCCGGCGGCGGCGGGCCGGTGGCTGCGCGTGAAGGGGCAGTATGGGGGAGGAGGAGGAGGAGGAGGAGGAGGAGGAGGAGGAGGAGGAGGAGGAGGAGGAGGAGGAGGAGGAGGAGGAGGAGGAGGAGGATTGCAGTCCCAGTTTTGTGTGAGAGGCGTGAGAAGGCAGGTTCGGTTATTGCAAAGAAGAAGAAGCGGCAGATCGTTGCGTCTAGCGACGACCTGACCAAGCGGTTGCAGAAGACCTTGTCACGATTTTGTGTCCGTGTATACATGATTTTGGGATGCAAGCAATGAAGGGCAAGAACACGTTGAAACAGCGTATTTGCGGCATCAGGAAGACAGGAGGTCGAATCCGAGCCTTGAAACATCATCGTCGGGGGCTTAAACGTGTGTCTAGAGCAGGAGGGGTAGCACCAGCAACATATGGGGTTCGAGTGCAGGGCATGTCAAACGCGGATCGTGCCAATCTGCGATCCGTGGCATCGTTTGCTCTGCCCGGGATGCCCAAGGGACGCTCTCGTGCGGTGTTGTACTTGCTCGCGGACGCTCCCGACCTCGGACCCCGCTCTTGTCGTCAACACGCTTCCTCTGGTTACATGGCACACCGCACTGCACCAAGAGTGGCTACCACGGCGAACGCTTTCAACCAATTTCGAGGCTGCGGCATCTTCGTCGGCAGCTGGGTGGCTTTCGGTTATAGGACCAGCTGGCACGATCGTCCTGACCCTCGTTTACATTGGCTGGAGAGCAGTAGATTACGCTGCGTGGCAGGACTCTTAGGGCCTCTTGGCGGACCTCTTCAACTTGAGCCTCCAGACCTTCAACAGCCTTATACACCGTAGCATCCGAAGGCCCGAGAACTCCAAGCCCAACAACATTGTGTATGGGAAAGTATACCGAACTACGAGTCGATCAAACATGAATTTCAGCGCATAGGGGGCGGGGTGGGCAGATCCAAGCAGATCTTGTTGTAACACATATCGCTGGAGGCTTCTGGACCCAGAGCAAGCTTGAAAGTGAACGGTGCTCCCTGGTCCATCTGTGGCGGCGATGCGCAGCTCAGGCAGGCACAGTCCGACACCGAGTGTACGAATGTGACGGTAAAGCTGCATGGCGGCGTGACTTTGGTTCGGGTGAGATGATTGACATCCGTCGAGAGGCAGAAGGTTGTCCGCTGATCGAACACGGTGTCGCAGGCAGTGGTCGAGATGAGATTTTCCCGCCGCTCGTGGGCTCTGGAGCGCAACATCTGATCGTGAAGTGTCTGGGTCCCACGGGGGCATCTCGGCTTGGATATTCCCATTGGCGGCGCAACTTTTGAATGCAGATGTCGAGTGGCAGACGAGATCGGGGTGGTCGTGTAGCTCCTTGGCTCCAGGATCCGGTGAGACAGGTCTTGCGTCTTATGGGCCAGCGCCGGGTGCAGCGCGGCGCTCGGGCCGTGCCGAGCAGATCGCCTTCTATATACAGCGTCGTTCCTCGTGGGCCCGCAGTCGGGGATTATCACTGAGCGCAAGAACCGGTTGTTGTCCTTAGAGAAGGGAGCTGGAATCACGCATGGCCCAGCCCAACCTTACTTCGAATCATGGAGGCTGGTCTTTTGGAACATCGAAGGCGCTGGGCGGCAACACTTTGAGCTGGTTTGGATGCCGTCGCGTAAGTCCAGGGCCTGGCTGATTAGGAATGACTGCCCTCCCCGTCGGCACGCGAGGAATCCCGCGGCCGATCGATTCGCCAAACGAGGATCCGTGAGTTACCCTTCCAATTCCCACGTTCTTGGCCGTCCAAGGGCTGTCGAAGAGTTTGGGGCTAAGTTTGTGCGTCTCTTGTCATGTGTTCTGCCGAATCTCAGCAGGATTGGCTTTCCAGATGTAGTAGGCATGCCAACTGCCCAGAAGAGGCCAGACGAGGGTGTAGTTGCAGGTGAACGAGTGCGTACTCCAAGGACTGCTAGGAAAAAAGGATATTGGGCACCTCCTCCACAAAGGAGGTGACATGTGGGGCTGTAGGTTGTGTGGTCACAGTTCGCTTGGATGGAACCGTGTCAACAGCAAGCCGTGCCCAGGAACCCCGAGATGATTACCAGAACCCACCCGACCCATGGGATGTGGGCGTATGGGCGCATTTTTGTTGCGCCCGTTGCGGGAAGTATGGCGCGGATCAAGTGAATGGTTTGGTCTAGAAGTGTCCCCCCCCGAACGGGCCAGGGGAACGGGGCAGGAGAGCTTTGAAGGAACTCAGGGAACGGAGGGACACAACCAGTGAAATGGTGGTGGGTACCCTATCCCCGTCCACTAAGCCCCCCTGCTTCAGTTGCAGGCGATGTTTCACTTGTGAGGGGTCGACTCGTCCGAGGCTCAAAAGGCTCCAGAGGTAGAGGAGGAAGAGGAGGAGGAGGAGGAGGAGGAGGAGGAGGAGGAGGAGGACGGGGAGGAGGAGGAGGAGGAGGAGGAGGAGGATCATCACGATTAGGCGCCCGGTGATTTCATCTCTGATAATTGGGAGGATGAAGACAAGGATCGGAGGTTGGGGGGGGAGAAATCGGTTTCGTTTTCGTGTTCGTGTCGTGCGCGCAGGCGAGGCGAGGTGGCGTGGGCACGCGAGAAGAATGATCCCGCCGTCGCTAGGGCGATCCGGATGCAAAAGTCCAGCCCCCAGGTGGTCGCGCGGTGGTTGGGGGTGTCCCGCCGCGGTGTCCCGCGTTGTCCCGATGGTGCCCTGCGGAGTCCCGCCGTGGTCTCCCGATGGTGTCTCGTGGTGTCCCGTGGTGTCCCGCGGTGTCCCGCAGTGTCACAATGGTGTCTTCCGGTGTCCCGTGGTGTCCAGTGGTGCCCCGCGGTGTTCCGCGTCGTCGCCAATTCGACGGCGCGCCACCAGCACCGTCATCCACACCCATCGCAGTTGCAAGCAGTTGTTTTTTCCCCTTCCCCCAACTTCACTATCATCCGAAAGGTGGTCGTTTACGTTATCTGTGGCTACTGCGAAGGCCTTACGGCCGGCGCCGCCAACCCTGCACGGGGACGACGACGACGACGGCGACGACGGCAACGGCGACGACGGCGACGGCGACGGCGGCGACGGCGACGGCGACGGCGACGGCGACGGCGACGCTGACACTCTGGAGCCGAACGCCTCTCCCAGGGAGGGGTGCTTCCCCCGGCGGGGGGGTCACAACCCCTTCGCCCCCACCCCTCACCAGCCTCAAACTTATCCCTATCCTTAAGATTGACACGCCAAAAGGCGATGACAATCTTAGGGATGCACCCTCAGAAAATAAGGGAACCCCTAAGATTGGCATCGTGATGAGGAGATGCCCAGCATGGGGATAGGGATAGGTTCAAGGCTGGTAGCCCCAGACCCTACCCCAGACCCCCCCTGGGACCCCCCGTGAGCACCCCCCCGCGACCCCCGCCGCTCTCCCCGCCGGGGGAGAGACCAACCCCCCGATTAGATTACAGTGCCGTTTTTAATACATGCTCCGCGTGCGGATCATGTGTTAGAAATGCAGGGATTCAGTACTAAAGACAACGTTGCGTTCATGCATACATTTATGCATGAATTGATCATGTATTGAAAATCCGGTGTTAAACAAAAACCCCATGTATTAGAGCCTGCCCAGTACGACGTTGCTCCAGTGTCCCTCTGGCCTGAACGCCTGGCAGGGAGCCCTCGACGACGGCGACGACGACCCCAGCGGAAGAACTTGTCACACACGCTGGCAGATTTGGGCGCATCAGGGACGAAGCTTCTTGGGCTTCCAAGGTCGCAGGCCTAGAGGTTGAAACCAACACCAAGATCGGCGGTGTGCCTCCACCGAGGGAGGACGATCCCGATCTCGGTGATGGTGGTAATATTCTGGCTTCAAGCTGACCGAAATATTAGAAAGAGCGTGTTCTACCGCTGCTGGCGGAAAACCGGGGGGGGTCACTACCGGTTCGAACCCCTCCCCCCCCCCCTCCAGAAAACCGGGGGGGGTCACTACCGTTCGAACCCCTCCCCCCTCCCCCTCCCGCCCAGCTTCCCCCCCCCCCCCCTCGTTTACCACCCCCCCCCAAGTTCATCATGAAAAGGGGGGGGTCACTACCGTTCGAACCCCCCCCCCCCCCCCTCGAAAAAACCGAGTGGGGGTGCGGACAGTGGTGGGGACGGTGTTGGTGGGGACAGTGGTGAGGGGATAGCGGGACAGTGGTGGGGACAGTGGGACAGTGGGACAGTGGTGGGGACGGTATAGTGGTGGGGACAGTGGTGGGGACAATGGTGGGAACAGGGGGGACAGTGGACAGTGGTGGGGACGATGGTGGTGGGGACAGTGGTGTGGGGACAGTGGGAATGAGGTGGAAACAGTGGGACAGTGGAGGGTACAATGGTGGTGGGGACAGTGGTAAAGGCGCTGGCGAGGACGGCGGTGGGACAATGGGACAGAGGTACAGTGGGGACAGTGGTGGGGACAGTGGGGACAGTGGTGGGAACAGTTGGATTTTCAGTGGGACAGCGGAGGAGTCAGTGGGACAGTGGGGACAGTGGGGATAGGCAGTGGTTGGGTCCGTGGAGACAGTGGGGAGAGTGGAACCGTGGTGGGAACAGTGGTGGGAACAGTGGGGACAGTGCGACAGTGGTGGGGGCACTGGTGGGGACAATAGGGACGGTAGTGGAACCAGTGGGGACAGTGGTGGTGAGGACAGTGGTGCTGGGAACAACAGTGGGGGATGTGATGCGAAAGGTGGTAGGGACTGGGAGTCGTTTGCTGCGCGTGCGTGGGGGGGGGGGGTCGAACCGGTAGTGATCCCCCTCCGGTTTTCGAGGGGGGGGGGGGGTTCAACCGGTAGTGACCCCCCCGTTTCCGGATCCGGAGGGGGGGGGGAGGGGTTCGAACCGGTAGTGACCCCCCCCGGTTTTCGAGGAGGAGGGGGGATGGGGGGGAGGGGTTAGGGCGGGGGGGGGGGTTGCCGGGGGACGGGGGGGGGTCCAGCAGGGGGGAGATTTTCG